GTCAGGGAACTTTATCATCTGCCATGCCATAAACACTGCCGGCACACAGGGCTGACTTCCTCCAGAGCCTCAGACAGCAGTGCCTGTGGAGTCAGAGACTTCTGAAATCAGAGCTGTCAACTCATAGCTCTTGATTAGGGCTGAGATACAAGTTAATGAGGAGAGGCTTTGCTGAGAGCACTCAGACGCTGCAGGGAAGCTCTACCAGGAAGACAACTGCTGTTGGAAGTTGGAAGTTGTACAGGGATCCAGTCAGCCCATTCCAGTAAAGCAGCCTTGGCTAAGTCACACACCCTGATAGCTGGGACCAGCTCAGAGTACACTGAGGCAGAGTCTTGATGTGTTGTGGGCAGCCCTACACCCATCCTGTGTTGTAGTGCGTTTTTATATATATATTTTGTAATACTTTGAAGTAGTTTTGTTTTGTATTCCTATATTTTTCCCAAATGGTTTATCCCAGACTGTACTCCCCTCCTTTTACCTGTGTTATCCCTCTCCCGGGATGAGATCATCCCCAAACCCCCACCCTGGCTCTCTGTCAATCACTCAGCATCCCATCCCTCCATCTAGAAGTTTCGGTCCAAGTTGTTGAGTGACTAGCCAGAGGTTGGGAGTCAGCCCCCCAAGCCTTGCCCCTCACGCTGTCCTATATGTCTGTCCCCCAGTACCCATCCCTTAGGGTCACTCATTGGTTGGTAAAATGTTATCTACTTTTGGTTTCCACCTCCCTTTAAATGTGACCTTGGCACATGTCCCGGGGCTCTCGGCAGGAGACCCCTGAGGTGCAGGAGCTCCTTTGGGACTCCTAATAAAGCCTTGGATTAACCCCTGCTAAGAGTCGGCCTTTATCTTCTACCGATGTCTCTGGTGTCTCTTGTGCTGCAAAGGCGCCCAGCCCAGGTGCCCTCAGCACCCTCGGGGCACACACAGAGAGTGTCTGCCTGCCAGCCCAGGTGCCCTCAGCACCCTCGGGGCACACACAGACAGTGTCTCCCTGCTGTCAGCCCAGGTGCCCTCAGTACCCTCGGGGCACACACAGACAGTGTCTCCCTGCTGTCAGCCCAGGTGCCCTCAGTACCCTCGGGGCACACACAGACAGTGTCTCCCTGCTGTCAGCCCAGGTGCCCTCAGCACCCTCGGGGCACACACAGACAGTGTCTCCCCCCAGCCCAGGTGCCCTCAGCACCCTCGGGGCACACACAGACAGTGTCTCCCTGCCAGCCCAGGTGCCCTCAGTACCCTCGGGGCACACACAGACAGTGTCTCCCTGCCAGCCCAGGTGCCCTCAGCACCCTCGGGGCACAGAGAGTGTCTCCCCGCTGTCGGCCGTGTCGGGGCTGCCCCCCGGTGTCTGCCGACTCGGGACTGGCCCAGGGCTCCTGAGAGGCTCGCAGAGAGACCGAGACAATCCTGCAATTGAGTTTCATTAGAACTACACAGAAGCCCAGGATGAGGTTCCTAAATTCTCAGCATCCAGACACCAAGGGGCCCTAACTTCCCAAACAATCTGAGCACTCATGCTGCATCCAGCATTTTGCAGGCTGTCTTTATTAAATAGCCATAAACTTAGACAAGACACTTCATTTGTAACATTAAAATAAATAGGGATTTCACAGAAACCCTTCAAGGGAAATTCTACTCCCGGGTGCATCAGGTGAAGGTAAATCTTTTGTCATTTAGGGACATGTGGGCTCATCAGACTTGGAGCAATGATGAACTGGAGACATTTCAGTTCTTGGCCACATCAGTTTTACCACTCATTCATTACCACAACACTGAAATATTTCACAGCTTTAGGACATTTCAAAAAAAGGAGGAACCTGATGCTTGAGAGGGCTAGATAAAACCACTCATAACCCTGTGCATGTACACCCAAATTTTCATCATATGCAAACAACATGTGCCTTTGCCTGCATATTTCCACAATATCACAATATCATTTTAGTACATGCTGCCTGAGAGGGGTTTGGAGGGGAACAGACTGGCCTCAGCTGAGAAATCTTCAGCTGAAGCAGATGTACATGGTACTGCCTTTTATCAAGCAGAGAAGAGGATGGGGAGTCTGAATTACAACTTGCAGGGCAGAGGCAGGAACAGAACAGTCAAAATTTTTAAGTCATTAGAAAAGAAATTTCTCACTCGACAAGGATCTAGATGGGAGAAGGTAAGTCAGACATGGAGACAGGAAGAGCTGGACTGAAGCAGTGTTCAGCTGCCCAGCTACATTTGTCTCAAATCGTGAAGAATCCCCAAAATCCAAATTTGGCACTGCTCCCCAGAAAGAAAATACCTGTGAAACCTGCTGGTAACATGTGCACTCCATCAGTATGGACAGCAGAGACCAGAACAAGGAGAACTTGGCACTGGGAAAAGCTCCTCAGAGCCTGGTGCAGAGATCAGGCAATAGGTACTGCAGTCCTGGTGTGTCTATATGTCTATATATACATGTTTACATATATATATATATATACACCTATATATATATATATATGTATATATATATATACAGTGATAAAGAAGAAAATCAAACTTGGATGGAGAGTTTGGCATAGTCTTCTTTAAACCTGTGCTCTTTTTGTATAATGTAGCCGTAATAATGTATTTTATGGCAATGTAGTTAGCATGGTTTTAATAATAGCTTTTTCCTGCAAGGTGCCAAATATTCTCTTGTTCCTTAAGTTGTTGCAATTCAGGATACTGTTTCTTTGCAGGGATAGGCCTTATTTTACAAGTATAGGCAGCATTTGGGGAGGAAAAGTTTCAGTTTCATTTCCCCTGGATTGCTACTATTACACACACTTAAAAGATAAGCTACTACAAAAAGCAACTGAAATGAGCTAAAAGAACTGGAATTTTCCTGGCTACTGTATTGCTTCTGTTTTACACCTTAGCAGTTTCTGTTGTGAATGATTAATTCAGGTCCAAGTCATTAGATGAGGCAAATATGCTGATTCAAAACTTAGCAGGAGTGCAGGAGGAAATGAAAGAGAATAAGCATAGTAAATATGCAAAACATTTTACAATGAGATTACTTCTGCCAGGTCAAGGCAGTAAAGTTTTACTAGCTTGTGCTATGTGCCTGTAACTGGAATGATGACTCGCAAAATCAACCTTGGAAATATCTCTCTCTGTAAATTCAGATTAATATGCACATTCAGAATTACACAGGAACAGGGGGTTTATGCCTTTGGACATAGTTTGTATACCTGAAGTAACCAAAGTAAAATCTGCTGACAGAAATAGATTTTTGAGTATTCACATCTTAAGGTATGAAGCAGTGGCTTAGGTGTTTAGCCTGGGGGCAGGAGGAAAATGTTGAGCTCCTCTGGGACATTCCCTAATTCCTACCTGAGCACCTATATCCAATGTTTCTTGTATCCCCACTGATTCTCTGGAAAGATTCCCCACCACCTCATCCTTAGCAATAGGGAACATCTTTCCAGAGTGTATTTTCCATGATTTTCAACCCAACCTGGCCCTGTAGGAGAGAAATTCAGAGTTTACTGATGGCACAGGTTATGTTTTGTAGGTGATAAATGTTTGAGGACAACTTTACAGGTGAGAAGATCACTTCTCTTTGAGGCTGAGAAAGGAAAGGGGGGTGGGGGAAATCAACTTTACATTGCTGGTTTTTGTGGCAATTGGATTAGAAATAAGCAAGCACAGAAGCTGGTAAGTGTTCTTACTTCTTGTGAGCAATCCTGGCTGCTTAGGTGTTTATTGGAAGAATATGTCTATTTATTAACTTCTCACCAGGGCTCAGGGGAGTACATCTGGGAATCAGAACTCCTCTGACCAAACCCAAGTTGTTATTTATGATAAAAAAAGAACATTGGTAAAGCTGGAAAATTCCTGGAGCATTGCTTAATTTTAAACCAAGATTTCCAAGGAGGTTTTTGAGTTGAAGATATTGAAGGGCCTTGGCTGAATATATCAGAGGAATCTTTCAGTAGGAATAGTGAAGCCATTGGATTTTTAAAGAAAGAATGTAAAAAAAGAGTAAATTAATTTGTAACCATTGAAGGGAAAATTGAAAGTACTAAACATTCTAAAATGTTTTAGTTCATAACTGAGCTATTTATTTTACTGTGATACATTCACATTGCTTAAGGTCACATTAAAAAAAGGGGAGTTTTCTGTTTGAAAAATATTTATGATAATTTCCACAGATTCAAATGGAAAAAAAACCAAACCCAAACATTTGAAAACAGATAATTAATGGAGAACTGTCTCTTTCCTGGAAGTGACTTTTGTATTGATAAAGCTGCATATTCTGTGGAAAGATTTAAAAATCTTCAACCACTTCTAGTCACAAAACACATGGGATTAAAAGCAACATTAAATATCTATATAATACATCTCTTTAAATATCTACTTTCATTTTGGGATTTTTGTTGCTTATACTCTTCTTATGGAGACATATAACATCTTAAAAACTGATTGTACCTCACAAGATTCAAGCACTTTGAATCAATTTGCACTTTTGAAATTTCAAGCTGTTGTATAGTTGATAAAATGAAACAAACAAAAAAATTTCATTCACATAAAAAAGACATTGTTTCTCTAAAAATCAACATTATTTTAAGATGCAGCTTTTTCCTTGGAAGGTAAGAATATTTTCCAACAAAATATAACTTACAGAATAATCATAGTAACCATATTTTAATGTAATGTTAATTGTCATTATTTTTCACAATTAAATTTTTACCATTACCTCATTTCTTTATCTGGAGAGCCAATAAATGACAAATGGGATGCATTTTTCATGACTCAGCATTTTGGTTATTTATTAAGTTAGCTCTAATATTTCAGTTGCCTTTATCAACTACCTGAAAAAACAAATCAATATCTGATAGGGCATTGCAGCAAAGTATATAAGCATGAGGTTTATGCTGCTGAGTCTCAGTTTGTCACTTCCAGCCACCTGACTAAGAAGTGACATTTAAATCTTCCTCCTATCCCTGTTATCTGATTTGCAGGAACCCAAGACTTAAGCAACCATGTCCAGCTCAGGCGAGGCAGAGCTCCTACACACATTTAAGGGGATTCCCTTTACCACCAGGTCTTCTCCAGAGCTTTTAAAATCCTTAGATACTTTTGATGCTAGAGAAGATGATGTCCTTTTGGTTTCCTATCCCAAATCTGGTAAGTTCTCATTTTCAATGTTAATTGCAAGAAGTTGTGATTGTGTTTTCCATGTTCTCTGCTTAAATTACTTGGGAAATGTCTGTGTGAAAGAAACAAGAATGGATGTTTAAGTATGTGAATGTATTATTCTGTCAGTAAATGTTCATATTACAAGAAATATGGGTCATTTTCCAAAATTTTGATTCTGTAATTGAAAACAATCTCAGGTGTTTTCATGTTAGAAAACAAATATATATTCCTGACCTGTAAGCAAAATCTGTACTTGAAAGATTTTCTTGAGGACTTTCTACATTCAATTATGAGCAAGTCAAGAATTGTAGTAAGTTATTTGTGTGCCTCTTGGCTGTAGATTTATTAATTTCTTATCCTCTCTCCACCCACCTCTCTTGGACAGAGAAGCACACATGCAGGGGGAGCTCAATCAATACCTTCAGAAATATACAGACTCAAGTTATTGTAAGGAAAAAAAACCCAAACAAACAGATTATTCTAAAATAAATTATTAAAACAATTTAGCCACCTCTCAGTTTGTCTAATGGAATGGTTTTGCTACCAATATTAACACTTCTCTCAGAGTTACTTTGTAATTCAGATATAGCTCTAATTTTTTCAGTGTTTATATATTTGGGGCCAATGGGATTACTTAGTCATGTAAAGTTTCTTGAATCTGTAGATTAAAATATAACTAGTTCACTGGCAAGGTGTTTCTGTATGAAAAATGCATGTTTCACAGTAATAAATATTCATCCTTTTTTATTGTTTGTTTTGTTTACTTAAAATTCCTCTTCTGTAGGCACTCACTGGCTTGCAGGAGTTATAACAAAGCTTTACGATACTCGAGTCACAGTAACATCTCCCATTGAACTTGGAGACATTTCCCGACTGGAGGAGCTGAATAAACTCTCATCAAAGAGAATCATCCCAACACACTTAGACTACAACATGTTGCCTCCAAATTTTAAGAATAAGAAATGCAAGGTAAGGCAAAAATTATATCAAAGCAGTAAAATATGTAGAAAGTCTACTAGGAATCTATTTTGTCCTGTTGATCCTTAGTAATTTTTGAATGATTCACAGTTTTAGAAGTGTTTTGCTGTGAATTTTGGAGACACAGCTGACCACTAGTTGAAAGCAGCAGGAGCAGAGACTTGGACTGGGGACTGGGTTCTCCTCCTGCCCCACTGCTCCCATGGGGTGATTTTTACACCAGGCACCACATAAAATAGGACATCAACATATTTTGATCAGAAGTCTCTCATTAGTAATTGGGGTGTTCATCTCTCATTAGTAATTGGGGTGTTCTCATGACCTCATTTCCCACTCTCTTAGAAAATCTTGGCTACTTACAGGCTCCTCTGGGATTAAAGGAACTCTGACCCTCCTGCTGGAGCTTTCTGAAGAGCCCATAAAGGCATTGGGCAAACAGAGGAGAAATGAGATGAGGGAGGCAGATTCAGAGCACAGTTTTGAGTTCATAGAATCACAGAATCACCTGGATTGGAAGAGACCTTAAAGATCATCTTGTTCCAACCCCCATGCAATGGGCAGGGACACCTACTAAACCAGTTCCTCCCATGCTAATGTGGGAGATTTAAAAAATAAGTCTCAGATTTTATATTCAAAGTAAAAAATTTCAGGATCACTCAGATCCAGACTTTTGGGACAAAGCTGATTTGAATAAAAGGCCAAAATTTACATTTTGCAGCTGTCCTTTGAATGTTAATTAGTAAATGCTTTCATATGTGAGATATATGAGATAATATGCTGACTCAAGATTAAAGTTAACACAGGCTCTTTCATAAAGCATAAACATTATCCAGCCAGGGCAAACACACCTCTGTCCACATGGAATTGTTTGCTAATCACTATGGACTCCTTACTAAGAAGAGATTTCTAATTTAATGGCATGGTCACTGAAGGAGGTATCCTAAAGGAAAGGGTTTTGACACTGCAAACTGCCTATAACAATGCTCTATTTACAAACAGAGCTCCTCTTAAATAAAGGGAGGATATTATCATAAATAACTACATTTTCTTCATTTGCAGATGATCTACATCAGCAGAAATCCAAAAGACACCGCAGTTTCCATGTTTCATTACTACAGAGATAACCCAAACCTTCCCACTGTAGACAGCTGGACTGCTTTCTTTGACCTGTTCTTAAAAGGCAATGGTAAGGTTAAATGTTTTCTCTTTGCAGTTCATGTTAGTTTGTTATGCACAGAATGGCTTAAGAAATTTAAACTGTGTGAAAACTCCTTATTGAACTCCTTATTCATATGGGGTTGGTGGGGATAAATCCTAATGCCAAGCTAAACAAGAGCAAATAATAGGATGCTCTCTTCAGCCCTGCAAGAAGTCATTCTGAGAAGCAGCTGCATCATTCCAGCATAGCTCTTTGCAGGTTTTTGCTGCTCTTTGCTGCCCTAGGCGAGCAGGGCCGTGGCTGGTGACGAGCATGTGAGGGGACTGTCACCAGGCTGCAGGGACAGCTGTGACTGCAGGTCTCGTGTCTTCTCCAGGCTGGGAGACAGCCCTGGGCAGCTCAACAAAGGAGCCTGTTCCTAAAGCCCTTCTGCACACACTCTCCCTGATGTGCTGTCTCAGAAATGGGGTCCAAAGACCAAGGACAAGAGGGAGATTTTTCAGGAGTGGTGGGATGGCAGCTGGCAACAGGACCTTGTTCACATTTTCCACTCCCATATTTAGTGTTTTATTACTCCTTTGAGGACATGTGTCACCACAGTGATGATAACAGCAATAATGATTGATCACCTTGAAAACCCCAAAAGAAAAGTGCTTCTGCAGTCATCGCAGACTCACATCAGAGCTCCAGGAGTCAATCTGTTTACTGCCTCCTCCAGGCTTTGGCTCAGATCTAGTGTTCTTAGGCCAGAGCAGCCCTAAGGCACATGCTTCAGTGATTTGCAGGATCTTGGCTTGTTTGGTATCAACTCTGAATATACAATAGTGAAAAAAAAAAAGAAAGAGGATTCTATTCAAGGCCAGGCTGGATGGGCCTCTGAGCAACCTGCTCTGGTGGAAGATGTCCCTGCCCATGGCAGGGGAGTTGGAACTAAATGATCTTATAGGTCCCTTCCAATCTGAAGCATTCTGTGCTTCTATGATTTTAAAGCATGTCCTATTTCCCCATAAATTATTAGCCACCTTCTATTTTCCGAGTGCTTATGTGTGGCATAAATGGATAACTACGTTGGTTAAAGAGAAATTTAGGGAAGAGGTGATGTGGAGGGAAAGGTGGTCATTTTTGCTCCTAGTAGAAACATTTCAAGGTTGTGCTGCTTGATCCAAATCCTGCAGTAGTCTTGCAGAGTTAATATCAGTTCAAAACAAGGGTTAGGACACACAGGGACAACTGTAATGACCTCCCAGGAGTCTCCAAGTCTCTTCTGAAGCCACCAGGATTGTGCTATCACTGGCCACATCCCCAGAGCAGCTGGCCAGGGGAGCAGGGTTTAATTGCACACTGTGGAGGACACATGCCTTGCACTTAGAAACTGCCTTATGTACTAGAGATGGCTCCAGACTGGAACATTCAGCTTAATTATAGTTATTAATTATAATTTATACTTAATTACAACTCACAGTTTGTGACCAAAATGATGCCCATTACAAGATTAGAATTTTCTGCTGGTGGTGGTTATAAAGCAAAGTCACAGTTCTGGAGAATGCTTGCTGAGCTTTCTCTGTTCAAGCCTCTTCTCATTGCCCTGCAAGAGGTTTTTATCTTGGCTTTGAAATGGAGAGGTCAGAATTTTGGTTTTTAAAGGAGCTGAAATTTAGCTGTGTTCCCATGGTTCAGCAAATGGAGCATTCAGACAAAACAAATCAGCTACAAACCCTTCTATCTGTGTCACTGGCTGAATGAAGCATTTGCATGAATTCTTTAAGTAATTCTTCAGCATTTAAAAATTATACAGATTCCCTTCTGCTGGGATGAAAGAGAGGTAACAACTGTGTGCTCCATTTGCCAGCCTGCTCATTTCATCTCCTGCTGAGGTGATCAGATCTCTGTGACCACAGACATGCAGTCAGTCATCTGTGAGATGTTCGTATCTTGTTAGGCCAGTACATTTTACTTCATTATTGGCCTTTCCTTAGATCTGGAGCCTGCTTCCACTACAGAATCATATCTCAGAATAGTATCTGGCATGAAAACAAATTCCAACAAGAATGGAAACCTCTTTGGAAGTTCCTTTTGTAAATTAGCATCACTTGACACAAAGAACTGCCCGTGTTTTAGAGGATTATAAATACAAATTATTGCCCTAAATGTGTGATGTAGCATTACAGTTATTTATGAATAAAGTTTTTCTGGATCTCTTTACATGGGTTTTCCTTTCAGTTGTCTGTGGATCCTGGTTTGATCATTTCCTAAGCTGGGAAGAACATGAAGATGAGAAAAATATCCTCTTTTTGTTCTATGAAGACATGAAGAAGGTAAATATGCTCTCTGCTCTTGGTGCAAAAGGCATTACTTGTAAATTAGCATCATTGAAACATCAAAGAAGAAGAAGATATAAGGAAAAAGGAGAAAGAAGGAAAATGTGAATATGCGTCTTTGGGCATATTTTTTATTTGCATGGAATTTAGTATTAACTAAATAATTCTGACTACACAAGTTATATAAACACAAAATCTTGTGAGAGTTGCATTTCTTAGATGCAGGAATGGGACTCAGACAATTTTCCTCAGGCTCAGGCAGAGTTTTAAGTTCCCCTTTTTTTGTCCTATGGAAAGACCAACCAAGGACATCTATTGAGGATCACACATTAATTTGCTATGTTTGACATTTCGGTGAAATTTTCAAAAAGTGATGTAAGACAACAGAACTACTCACATTTGGGACTTGTGTTCCCAATAAAAAAGAAAATTAGAGGCTGGAGGGGTAGGGAAAAACTTCACTATTCTTAAAAAAGAATAAGTAAAATGTCAACATACCTTAGCTTTCAGAGAATAAATTTTTAGGTGAATAGAAAATATTTTCTAGTGTCTCCATGAAAATAGGGTTGTTCATTTTTTGGGGGGAAAAGATTCAACTACTAGGAATATAAACAAACCATTTTGGATGCTGAGTCACTTGTTAGATCTCTAGATACAGCATGTCCAAAGAAATAAGCTACTTGGAGCTGGGCTTTGAGTATTCTTCTATTTCCAGGCAAATAATTCTGAAAGACAGCAGAACATTTTATCTGAAGTGGGAGATAAAATTGACAAAGTGACTGTGTGTGATATGGCATACTTATTTATTAATTTCTGTGAAGATGGCTAAGAGGGGAATCAGGTTTATTGTACCTGTCATGTGCACAATACAATGACATATTTAGCTTTGCTTGAAAGTAAATAAATGTGTGACAAACTCATTTTGTAATAAAAGGGATAATTTTCAAATCAGCTAAAAGTCTGATAATCGGCCCAGAAACATAAAAGCTGTATTTTTCTTATACCTCAGGATCTCCCTAAAGTTGTAAAGGAAATTACACTGTTCCTGAATTTAAATGTCAGTGATGATGATATCCAAGACATCTGCAACAAGTCCTCGTTCTCAGAGATGAAGAATGACACAGAAAAGGAGAACAGTGACCCCAGTCACACGGTGTGTGCTCTGACATCCAACAGGAAGCTGATTTTCCGAAAAGGTAAATTCCTTTCTGCCTAACACGGGAGAAGCAGTGGGTATCCAGACAAAGACTGCAGAGCAGGTCTTTCCTGGAGTCTTTGGGTCAGCCCTGGGAAGTGATGACAGGATTCTTCGACCTGAATCCCTATTAAAAATGACTTCCTAACTTCTCTGGCTGCAAATTCACACTTGTGCTAGAGAAGCCTAGAGGATCTGAACTATAGCCTGCTCTGTGGGAGCTGTTGAGCCAAAAGGAAAGCCTCACCCAGCAATACTCTTTATCTGTCTTTTTTTTTAATCTAAAAGTTGACCACCTCGGTGTTTTACAACGTCTCTGATATCACCTGCCAAGGTCACTTAGTTAACTAGAATAAGAAAGAGCCAGACAAATTCCTTCTGAATGAGACTGCTCTTATCACCCCTTATCTTACTGAAATATTCCTGAAGAAGGAATATGCTGACAACGACAGCAACAACAAAAGAATGGTCATAGGTAACTTCCAGACCTTAGAAAATTTTCCACAGTTCTTAGCTCAGATGTGATTTTAAAATACCCTCAGGAGCTGTTTTCTTGCTCCTGGCATTTCAGAACCTTCCACAGGTTTGGATAACAAGTCAATCAAACCCACTGTTTTTTTAAATTATTTTGATTTAGTTAATTTTTGAACAACAATTGACAGTTTAAAACTAGGAGTTGTTTCAGTTAATAAACAGAGAAATGTTACCTTCCATTAATTCACAATGGTTTTACCAGTCAGCAAAAACAAATGACAACATATCATCTGTCAATAAAAAAAGAAAAAAAAAAAAAGAGCTGCATTTTTCTCAGTCAGTGAACTTTGATAGATATGATGAAAATGTTGAAAAATCCCAACATTTTTACTTCCAAGTAGTTCCTTTGCTAATCCCAGATGTTTAGCTAGTTTCAGCCAGTTTACAGAAGAGTTATATGTATATATTTTGCTTTGGGCTCTCTTTTCCTGTCCTTTAGGACAGCATACTGAATGCTATTTTAGTCAGAAAATGAGATGATTATTTTAGTCAGGTTTGGGTTGCAGAGTCTTTAGAACATGCACATGGAGGGAAACTGTAAGCATTGTCTGATAAAAATGTATCAGTTTATAAAACAATTTCCTTTTTGCTTGAACTGGGTAACAGTTGAAACACTTTTCTGATCACCAATGTCCATGGCCACCCAGAAGTATTCAATTGCCCATTTAAGTAGCTGGACATCTCATCCATAAAAATTCCTAGAGATTAGGAGCAGGTGTTATGGTGGGATTAATTTGTCAGGCCATTCTGGGCTCCTTTTCTAGGAATCGTTTTTTGTCAGTGGCTTTTGGGCTACCACTCATTTAATAAGTTTAGATGGTGACTACAATTTCCTGTAAAGGTCCCTTCCCACCCAAACTGTTTTATGAATCTATGAATTTTATGCCTATTTACAAGACCATCTAGTAGAGAGACTCTTTACAAGGGCCTGGGGTGACAGGACAAGGGGGAATGGCTTCACACTGATAGAGAGGAGGTTCAGATTGGATATGAGGGAGAAATGCCTCTCTGTGACAGCGCTGAGGCCCTGGCACAGGTTGCCCAGAGAAGCTGTGGCTGCCCCTGGATCCCTGGCAGTGTCCAAGGCCAGGTTGGATGGGGCTCTGAGCAACCTGGATTAGTGGAAGGTGTCCTTGCCCATAGCAGGGGGATGGAATGAGATGATCTCTAAGGTCCTTTTCAACCCAAACCATTCCATGATTCTACAATTTCTTCTACTGACTGTGAAAAAACCCAGGCAGAGACCTTTAACTACACTCAACTAAGGCATGGCATGGCATGGCATGGCATCTGCCCAGATCACCAGGAGCTCTAATTCCACCTTGGAAAGCTGCTGTTCTTCCTCCACCACTTGTGTTGCTGGCACTAATCAGTTCTGAGGATGAGGCTTCATCAACCTTCATGGATGATGATCCAGATCTTTCCACCAGAGTCTCACCAGAACAGTTATGATCCTAACCTACCACAGTGACTGTGGTTAAGAATATATTAATATCTGTGCCAACTGCAACATTAACAAAACCAGGCTGTTTTAAAATAATTTTCTGCTCCACATATTGCTCACTTCACTGTTCTTTCTGCTCCTGTTTTCCTAGGTGCTGTTGGTGATTGGAAGAACTACTTCACTCCAAAGCAGAATATTAGGTTTGAGGAGATATTTAATGAGAAAATGAAACTCAGCAAGATGGCAAACAGTTTCATCTATGAGTGCTGAATCCCTGTGAAGAACAATATCCAGTTATCAACAAACATGCACAGACCAGTTGGTGGGAAGTTCTGAATGGGTGTTCCCATCAGTTTATAGTGCTTCCAATAGGAAGGATTGTAAACATGGGTTCTTGAGAACAGGAAAGTTCTGACACAGTGCCAAAACTGAACTCAGTTCTCAGGGGGCAGGTGTACATGGTTTCAGAGTCAGGTGTCAGACCTTGGTTTGACAGCCAAATCTACTTCATAATTTATTTATTTTCTTTGCTCTAAGGGGATATGAACAGACTTCATAAACCTGAATAAAGAATTTTACCCAAGATAATATGAAGAGAAAAACAAAAAACAAACTTGCAAAAAACTGAATGTATAAGAAATCTAAAAACACATCATAAGAAAATGACCAAAAATTTGACCCCAGACTTGCTCCTTCTGTAATACACCATGATTTGGAAGTGCCTATCTTATTGGACATTGCTCTTGATAATTAAGTTGAAAACTGCAGCATTTGAAGATCTGAAGTCTGTTTACAAAAGTGTTTCTTTTTTTTCCTTTTCTTTTCTAACACTATATAGTTCTTTGATGTAACTTATTTCTGGATTAGGTAGCAGAGAGTCTTTGTGTTTTAAATGCAACTGATAAAAATCCAAATAAATTTCAGCAACCACATGTTGAGCAACTTTAATGTGTTTATTTTCCATTTGATTTTCTTCCTGAAAAATTCCTGTTTCCAGTGTTTTGATGAGAACTATTTTACTTTCCACTCCTTGAGCAACAAAACCAAACCACAGCTCAGAGACAGCTTAATCCAAACAGCACTTATTTATTTACTCTGCCCTGATAAAACAGATTTTCCAAGAATCAGCTGTCTGTGTCCACATCTCAGGGAGTGTTCTACCAAGCCACACAGTTTCAAGGCAGAACACAGTTCCTGTGTGTGAGAGAAGCTCCTCTCCTGGGTGTGTTGTTTCTGAGGTACAGACACAACCTTGTTTCATCAACACTCATCTCCCTCCAGCCACACACTTCACACTTGCCAGGCAGCCACTTCATTTCATACCTGCTTTGTGCAAGCTGGCATCAACACCTACTGATTTTGCACCTGCACAAACACACAGAAGTTATGGTGCTGAGGAGAGCGGGAGCAAAGCCTGTGTGCAGTCCTTTGCCACTTAACCAATTCAACACAACCTGAGGGAGATGATGCTCCGCTCTATACAAATAACCATTTGATGTGTTACTTTGCTCTTCTGACATTAAAATCACTCACTTTTCCCCCAAAATGCCACTGTTGCCCTCCTTTCAGGTGTTGTTCTTCCACTGTTAATAAGTGGCAAGAGAGCTGATGAAAATAATTGAACATTTTACTTAGAGACTTATTTTTTTCTGGCCATTTGAGTATGGGAAAAAAGCCAGAGGGTGCTTGGGGAAATGAGGTTTGCAGGTGAGTTTAGCTGCACTAAGACTGCTGTAAGCAGTGTTTGTACCACACATTGTATGCACACACAGAAAGGATTGTTTATATCAACATACTCACAACGTGGAACTGTGTGTGAAGGGACAGGATGAGGACTTGCCTTGTGGATCAAGGTAAGTTTGCTAAACTACTTAAACCTACCCATCAGCCAGGGAGGTAACAGTGTGCTGCTCAAAGTGCAGTTAGCTCCCTAGCTGCTTTGGGGGGATGAGGAATTAATCAGTTTACAGCATGGCCTACTGGCCAAATAAAGGATTTGCATAGATTAAAATTAACCAAAAAAAAAAAAAAAGTTTGGCAGGGCTTAATCAGAGCTAGGCCATGTGTCTTTGTGCTACCTAAGCTCTGACACCAATGACAGCAGCCTGGCTGGAGTAGCCCGAGCTCCCTTGCCACTAGCAGGGGCAGCAGTTCAGAGGCACTGCAGGGCACTGGTCCAGTTTGCTCTTTACATTGCCATGCACTGCCTGCAAGTTTACCCCCAAATCCCCTTAAAACCTCTTGACTTCCACAATAAATCAAATGTCTGCTTTGTTTGAGCAAAGTGCTCCAAGTGTTGATACACTGATGTGGCAAGCCAAGACCAGGGCCTGTTTGTGAGTTATCAGAACTACTGCCCATAAAATCAGTTCAGACTCCAGGCGGAGATAAGTGTAGCTCCTTAAGATCCTTTAAGAGGCAGCATTCAGAGAATGGAATTGATCCAAAGGTAGATCATGATAAATATATTCAGGAAAATTTAAAGTTCATTAAGTGACATGAATGGGAGTGTTTTATATTTGTCTAAATCGGGTAATGGGCCGTGAGGGGAATGAGGAGCAGCTGAGGCCACTTGGGTCTGTTCACCTGGAGGAGACTGAGGGGAGGCCTCGCTGCACTTGCAGCACCCTCGTGAGTGAAGAGGCGGGGCAGGCCCTGATCTCTCTGCTCTGTGTGACCAGGGACAGGACCCAGGCAACGGCTGGAGCTGGGGCCGGGCAGGGTCAGGGTGGGTATCAGGGAAAGGTTCTTCCCCCAGAGGGTGCTGGGGCACTGAACAGGCTCCCCAGGAATGGTCACGGCCCCAAGGCTGCCAGAGCTCCAGGAGTGTTTGGACACTGCTCTGAGGGATGCACAGGGTGGGATTGCTGGGGGGCCTGTGCAGGGCCAGGAGCTGCACTCCTAATCCTGAGGGGTCCCTTCTAACTCAGCTTATTCTGTGATTCTGAGGTACTTCATCCCATTTTGAAGCTTTTTAGAGCAAGCTTTACCTGATGAATAAAGACACTTCTGCTGGGCCTCACTGCTCAGAAGGATCAATTAGTGGCAACTGATCCCCTCCCAACTTGAGTCTGAACTGCTGTTGACAGAGTGTAACCAGGAAAAAAAAGGTGGGACAGTAAAAACAAAATCCTACATGGATTACTGCTACTGTACTAGCCATAAACAGGCTACTGTACCTACTGTACTAGCCATAAACAGGTGTGCAACTATACCTTCAGATAAAAGTTACAGCCCTGGAGAGACTATTTCCATGTTTAATACAAGAGTAGCCATAACTAGTCCAGATATATTTCAATTTAGGCCAGAAACTTGTCTGCAAAGCATGTGAACAACCAGGAAAAACATGGTATTTTCCAGAATGTTCTCCAAACCTCCAAACCTCCAAACATTTTGGCCAAGAACTTCCACAGCAATTTACTGTATCTCTAACTACAGATAATTATGACCACTGATTCATCCAAGGTACCTGTACTCTTACATAATTCTGTGTGTACTTTTGCCCTATTTTCCTTAATTTTTAAAGATTAGATTAGTCCTATTGAGAATAGTAATGCCATGTTCTTCTGCTCACTGTATCAGAGCTACACACTGACGTAGAATGAACCACTAACATACATTGTGGAAAAAAAAAAAAATGCAGTTGGGTATTTCCTACATAAGAAATAGGAAGAAGAATCTGAGGTTCAGAACCAGAACTCTGTTGAGTGTCAGATTCATGAAATACATGGCCCAAGCCTGTTTTAAGTATTCTGAGGTTCATTAAATGTCTGTAATCCATGTCCAGCTCTGGAAATCCATAGGCTGCAAATATGCTGAGGCCACAGAAAAACTGGAAAGCACCCCTAAATACAACATGGTAAATTTATATTCCTCAGGTCTTTCCATGGCTTCCCATCCTTAATTTTACAGATATTTTAACACCACTCCCTTCAGTCTAAAGTGAAGAATCCTCCTTCCAAAGTGAAGAAATCTGGTTTGGCTACTGCTGTGACTGAACCTGATTCCCATCTTACATCATCCATTTTATCCTCCCACATTTACTCCCTTTGGAATGCTACAGCCTTTTCAACACAAAATAAACAAAACATGCAATATTCAAGATACACACAAACCATTGAATTATACAGTGGATTATTTTTATCCTATTTGTGATATATTCTTTTTCTAATTTCTGCTTTTTCAACTGCTAGCACACACTCCAAACCGCTAGATACTTTTCTGAATTATAACTGCTCTGTAAAAATTGCTATTTTAACACTTATGTTAGGATTGTTTTTCAGTTAAGCTTAGCTTATTTTATATACACCTCCTCAGTTTCATCAGGCCCTCTCTTTGCTAACCTGAATAATTTGGTATCATTACCTTCACATTGTTCACTGCTCATTCTCTTTCATGCCTCCCCCATAGAAGGGGGAATGCTCTATTAAACCAGAGCCACATCCATAAACATACCTAGAATCACAAATGGGGATAGACCAACCTGTCCCAAAACAGGAGAGAGAGAAACAAACCAAACCCACCATCCAAAGATTTTTCAGACAAGTGTATTACTGCTAAGTTTTTCTAACCCATTTATGCATCAGGTTCACACATAATGGTGTTTTTCTTCTGTACAGCATTACTGCTCTTGTAGTGGTAACAATTAGGATGATTAGTCCTGCTGGGGGGAATTAGACTAATTTTGACTTATTTCTGCAAGAAGTAAATAGTGTTTTAAGACCAAACTAACAGAAAAAAAATAATTAAAACCAAAAACCTTCCCCCACAGAGGCTCTGGAAAAACTAGTTAGCTAAAATGTGTGATCAAGGTTTAAAAGTCTTAAAAACTTGAATTCAGCAAGTATTAAAACATATCTCTGACTTCAAAAGATATATGTGATTCATATTGATTTGAAATGACTTAAGGTCAGAACTTGTTGCATCACCAAACAGGAACTGGAGAGGAAGATAAACTGAATAGGAGAAAAAGCAGATAAAAATAAATAATGAGAGTTAGAAGTGGGTGAAGGTGTGAAGGATTAATTTGGGCACTAAATCTGTCCACCTTTGCCATCATAAATCATTTTTGTGGCACATGAACTTGGAAGTGTAAGATGTGCAGTACAGAAACTCACCACAAGCCAGCCCATAACCATTCTCTACTTAAAAGATTTAAGAAAGCTGTTCATTTAAAATCTGAGGTAATCAGCTACTTTTTCATAATAGCTTACTACAAATATTTACATAGTTTCCTGTTTTTCCATTTCACATAATCATTACAGAACAGC